CGTGCACCTCTACAAGCGCAAAGGGAATCGCCAAGTCTGCGACAATCACCGCGGCATCTCCATGCTGAACATCGCCGGGAAGATCTTCGCCCGCATCCTCCTCAACCGTCTCAATAACAAACTCGAACAGGGCCTTCTGTCTAAAAGCCAATGCGGCTTCCGTCGTCATCCCGGGACCACGGATATGATCTTCGCCTCCCGTCAACTTCAGGAGAAGTGCCAGGAGATGCGGACCCACCTGTACTCTACCTTCGTGGACCTGACGAAGGCCTTCGACACGGTGAATCGTGAAGGACTGTGGAAGATCATGCAGAAATAAGGCTGTCCGGAGCGATTCACTCAGATGGTGCGTCAGCTGCACGACGGTATGATGGCGCGAGTCACGGAAAATGGAGCTGTCTCAGAGGCATTCGCAATGACCAACGGAGTGAAGCAGGGCTGCGTGCTGGCGCCTACCCTCTTCAGCCTTATGTTCTCTGCCATGTTGATGGACGCATACCGCGACGAACGCCCCGGGATTCGCATCGCCTACAGGACGGACGGTCACCTCCTGAATCAACGGCGGATGCACTTCCAATCGCGCGTATCCACAACCACCGTTCACGAACTCCTCTTCGCCGACGACTGCGCCCTGAACACCACCTCGGAAGAGGAGATGCAACGGAGCATGGACCTCTTCTCTGCCACCTGCGAGGACTTCGGTCTGGTCATTATCACGCAGAAGACGGCGGTGATGCACCAACCGCCACCCCACTCAGTCAAAGCCCCCAATGCGCCGCCGTAAATCAGCGTGAATGGGACCCAACTGCAAGTGGTGGAGAACTTCCCGTACCTGGGCAGTACCCTCTCCCGCAACACCAAGATCGATGACGAAGTCGTCAACAGGATCTCGAAAGCCAGTCAAGCCTTCGGTCGCCTCCAAAGCACAGTTTAGAATCACCACGGTCTTCAGCTGAGCACGAAGCTGAAAATGTACAAGGTCGTCATCCTGCCGACACTACTGTATGGAGCGGAGACTTGGACGGTTTACGCAAAGCAGGCACGCCGTCTGGACCACTTCCACCTCAGTTGTCTTCGTCGCATCCTGAGGCTGAAGTGGCAGGATCGAATCCCCGACACTGATGTGCTGGAACGGACGGAAATCCTCAGCATCTACGCCATACTGAGGCAAATTCAGCTGCGCTGAAGCGGCCACCTGGTGCGCATGGACGACAAGCGACTACCCAAACGACTCTTCTACGGAGACGTCGCGACGGGTTCTCGCCGTCAAGGAGGCCAGATTCGCCTTTACAAGGATAGCCTGAAGTCCTCCCTGAAACGCCTGCAAATCAACCATATCGACTGGGAGGAGCTCGCACTCGATCGACCAACCTGGAGGAGGACAGTGAAGACAGGCGCTGTGATCTACGAAGCCAACCGCATCGCTGCCGCCAAAGCGAAATGCGAAGCCCGCAAATCACAACTTCGCCCAGTACGCAACGCCACCGCACAACCGCTTCCAACGTGTCCTCGATGTCAATGGATATTCCGGGCTCGAATCGGACTTGTTGGACATCTTCGGATTAACTGCGCCTCTCGAACTGCACCAACCATCGTCCCCCCACCCACCTCTTCCTCCTCCTCTCCGCCGCCAAGTAACTCTGACAATTCTTCTGACCCACCACTTCCATCCTCCTCCTTCTCCTCCTACTCCTCCTTCTCCTCCTCCGACTCCAGCGATGAGGATCAGGACTCCGCCTGCCCTCACTGCGAACGCACCTTCACGTCACACATCGGCCTGGTCGGTCACTTGCGAATCCATCGCACAGAGACTGGCGAGACAGTGCCTGGAGTACCAACCTACACCCACCGCACTCGCCTCCCTGCCCACACTGCCCTCGCACCTTCACGCATCGCACGGGTCTATTCGACCACATGCGCATTCACGAGAGCGGAAATGACCACAGTGACGACACACCCACCACATCCAACACATCCACCAGGCCCAGCACCACCCTCGCTCCATCGCCACACGCGCCCATCACCACCACCACCACCACCGCTTCCTCTAGAGCTGACACCGACAACGTCGACCTCTCAGGCCCACACTGCCCACGCACGTTCACCTCACGCATCGGCCTGGTCGGTCACTTGCGAATCCTTCGCACAGAGACTGGCGAACCAGTGCCTGGAGCACCAACCTACACCCACCACGCTCGTCTCAACTGCCCACACTGTCCTCGCACTTTCAGGCATCGCATGGGCCTATTCGGACACATGCGCATCCACGATGACCTGCGGTAGACAACCGCCGGTTACACCACACATCCACACACTCTCTACCTTCCTCCACCATCACCACCACACATCAACACGCACCCAACTGCAACCTCCCACGCAAGTGGGAAGTCCGCATCTCGACTCGATCCCCATGCGGCTTCGGCTGCACGGGTAACTTGAGTCCGAGACTATCCGGACACGTCAAGCGTCGTGGATAGGAAGGTTGCTGATTGACGCCCGCTCTCGGCTCACGCAGTTCGTCGCGTTGTGTTTGTGTGTTGTGTGGAGTGGCGGACTGGTGGGCTGGGGACGGGCTGAAGCTGCACCTTCCACGGCACTCTCACGCAAGTGAGAGACACGCCGTTCAACCCCCGTTGTGTAAAATCCTGGTGTTGTGTGTATGGGGGGCCAGGTCGTGCCGTGGCGCGCGCAGTCATGGTTAGTCGACCATGACAGCCACCGCGCCCGCTCCCCACTCCAGTCTGCTGACCGGCTCGGACAGCGGCTGGGGTGTGGGAGTGGGAAGGGAGAGTGAGGTCGACGAATCAGCGCACTTTCTTCTCACTATAAACAATCTGACGCGCTTGAAGCTATCACCTTGCGCTAAAAGCCGTGGCTTGGAAGGTTGCCAACTGACGGGGTAATTTGGACCTCCTCCTTGACTGGAGGCGGTCTGAGAGTCAGGCTGTAATGGCTCCTTTTTAATGTGGCCTTTATTGCACTCCCGCCACCGTGTGGGATCCGAGCCAGGCGTTGGCGGTACGCCTAGGTGCGGCTTCGGCCGTGCCAGCCTCCAAATCTCTCTTGTGTTGGTTGAAATCCTGGTTATTGTTGAGTGGACCAGAGGGTGTGGTGGAACGCCAAGGTGAGGATCTGTCCGAGCCATCCACCTGCGGCCCCCTCGTCTCCGGTCTTCTGGACTCTGTCTTGACACCGGGCTCGGGCGAGGGAGGAGGAGAGAGTGTAGGTAGATGCTACGCAAGTCTACTGGCACTATAAACCCCTGCGTAAGTCACCGTCCCTGCTCCCACTGCTGCTGCAACTGTGGGGCACACGGTGGACATCATCGAAACCGATGGTCGAGCTGTCATCTTATGACATTCTTAAGGCCTTTGGTATTTCTTCTTGTCAACACATCCCTTGGTGCAGGGAGTAAGTTCTCCTGTAAGTTATGGTCCACCGTACTGGCAAACTTGAACCGGTTTTACGTCTGTTCCCAGTGTTTTTCTAATTAATCGCTGTTACATTCCTCAGTTTGTCTCAATAACAGAAGGCGAACGGTCGAGATCGTCGTTGACGTCCATTTCAGGAAGTCGGCTGATGGCTTCTTCGAATGTGTTTAACCCTAACTTTAAGTCTAACTCTAGTCTCAATTCCAACCCTAATTTACCTGTATTTCAGCGCAAAACAACCTGTATTACCGAGGGTTCCTGTTTCCGTGTACTACGGGAGAAAAAGACCGTTGTCGTTGTGGCTGCCGATCCCGTGGCGACCGAACGCCCTCACCTAAGCGACGTGGTCAGGGGATGAAAACGAACATGCCAGTCCCAGGTTCTTGTTTCAAAGACGACGAATGCGCGATCACTGGGACAACACGTGCATTAGTTTGAGCTTTCGGTCTCGTACAGGAGGCCATTGTCAGAACTGTGGGAATGGCGTCAAATGAGCAGTTCTGTAGTCAGACAGAGAAGGGGGGAGTAGTGCAGGGGGCGGTGTTCGTGATAAGGCTGAGTCCACACCGTCTCACGGCGCCGTCACTGCGTGCACCCTTGGCTGGTAATTGGGTCTCGCGTCTTGGTCGCGGGAACGGAGCGAATGATAGCAGGGGGTATATCAATGTGTCTGTTGATGGAACTGGTGTCCGACACTCAGGCCTCCAGCATCCTCGTCCTGTCTTATTGCTGGCCCGCGCTATCATCCGCGTGCTCGCGAAGTTGAATTCGTGGCCTTCCTCCAGAGTGTGAGTACCGACCTGAGACAGCGGGTTGCTTCTCCGGACTGCCGGTTTATACTTGGTTATACTCAAGCCAATTCGTCGTCCTGTCTATCCTGTGTAATGGCGAGGGCAGTCCTGGCGTGTGATCTGATAAACGACATCCAATTGTTCTCCTACGTCTAATCGGTCCTTCATTTGCATGATTTTGTTGCGCATGGTCGCTGTTGGACGGTGGGCGATACACACGGCGAGCTCTCCAGCAATACGTTCCGTTGCTTTGGCACATTATTTATATATGGTATAGGGTCCCAGAGTGTTGGCGGCTCTCCTCCGTTTGTTCGCCATGGGTGCGTGCGGAGACAGCGGCTGACGAAGCTGTTTGGATATCGATTCCTTTCCTGTTGGTTCTGAAGATGCCATAGTTCTCGTGCTCATCCATCCCGCTCACTGCAATGCGTTTTTTCCTTTGAAAGAATGCCCATGGGTGCATGTAGTCACGCGGCTTTGAGACGGGGTGGACTCAGCCCTATCGCGAACACCAACCCCTGCACTCCTATTTTCCCCCTTCTTTGTTTGTCTACAAAACTGCTCATTTGGCGTCTCACTCTCACAGTTTCTGATGATGGCCTCCTGTACGAGACCGAAAACTCAGACTAATACACGTACTGTCCCAGTGATCGCGCGTTCATCCTCTTCGTAACGCGGTCAGTGCCGACTGGATATTAGGTAGACCAAGGACAATCAATTTGTCCGTAATCGGCACAGTCATTAACAGGGTGCGCAGGTCTCCGTAGACTATGCTCTCAACGTTACCGAAATCGGTCATTGGGAGGTCTAGGTGCTGGTGGTGTTGAAAGGTCTGTTCCAATGGATAGGCAGCCTCGTGATCATGAAACGGCTATCAGTGCTATACAGAAGGCAGAACGGCCGTCTCATGACGTCTCCTTTCATAGCGAAAGTGGCTATGGCGTCTCGTCGACCTTTCCTTGGGCTCCCGCTTCAGACCAAGGTATATTTGACACTCACCTCCCCCAGCCGTGCCTGATCAGGAGAGCAGATATCACTGAGAACTGCAATGTACACTTTGTTGGCGGCCAGCTTGCAAGCGACCGGAGTCGCCCCCTTTTCGGGACCGTTTTGAAAATGGAATGAGCACTTCAGACTGTCGGAGTGAGTAGTGTCGTTGTGGCAGTCCGTGGGACTGTCCGCGGATGTGTGCGGGAGTTATTATTTATTGAACTTCTTCGATTGTATCTTTTGCATCTACAAGCCACGGTCAGACTGCTGACAACCTGTTTTGCCGGCAACTTTTAGGGCACATTTTCTAGCCCCCTCGCCCAGGTGAAAGTAAGCAGATCAGGTCGTAAATAAAGCTGCATAATCATCCCTCCCAGGTTCCAAATTCCACTGTGTCTCATGACTTTTGATTGGCAGATAGGCGACTCGAGCTAATCTGGGCTGTCTACGAGGTTTATGTCTCCCTCTCTATGAGACGTTTTTCTTTGTGGGTGAGGAGAGGTTTTCAGGAATAGTTGAGGAACTAATGGGTGTGGATACCAACGCGCCGGACACCCTCGTCTGGTTTGGTTCGCCAGTCAAGGACGGTTACCTTGTGTGGTTGCCGTGCAGATCAGGGCCTTATGGAGCCATGGGTGAGAGCTCGGTGTCAGGGCAGGGTGGAGCAGAAGTATCCGCCATGTTCATCGATGTGTTTTGCGGGTCTGTCAGTGTACCGCTTACGGATACTTCTTGTCGCTTTACTCGTGCGTGCACTAGCATTTGGCGTCGCCTATGCCACATCTGCGTGTATGGCTATTGAGTGAAAAAGTAACTTAACCTATCACGGCAGCTGGATCATTGGATATTCCCGAAATGGGAAGATAAATAAGTATCAGAAGAAGAAGCGATCACTGGAACAAGGGCTTTATTCGCCTGACGTTCCGGATTCTCAATTGAATCCATTATCAGACTCAGTGGCAGAAAAGGGTGACTCGTGCACAGGAAGTTGCAATATTTTAGGATGCAGTCGCTATGCTGTCGCATGCCTATAGCAATAAACCGCGCTCCCCTTCATCAAGGATTGTTGCCCGCTGGTGCGCTAATTGCTTGATGGCCGGCATGCAAGTTGTTAATTGCCGAAATGTCATCACTCGTGTTGGATGCTAGCGCGATACTTGCCCGGCCATCTGGTTCACCGGCTTGCGCGCTCTCCGAGCGATCAATTACTTTGACCAGCCTATGCATCAGCACGGAATATGGAGTGGGGATGTCGTTGCACCTGTTGAAAGACTGAGATCCCGCGAACCATGACTCAAGCCACTCGCGGCTCACGCGATTATCCCCTCTCGCGAGAATTTCGGTCGCATCAAACTTGAATGTGTGGCCGAGTCTCGTCGAATGGGCCGCGACCTGAGAGTTGGCGTCATTTATCTGTACCGCTGCCGCGTGTTCGGCAATTCGCGTTCGGAGCTGTCCTCCAGTTTCTCCGATGTAGTTGATTTGTCCGCAACTGCACCAGATCCGGTAAACGACTTCAGATATTTCTTGCCGTGGCAGTGGGTCTTTTGGTCTCATCACCTGATGCCTCATGGTGGCCTCCGGTATGTGTGCAACTCCAACTCCAAGTGGTGCAAGAAGGCGGCTAACTGCCTCGGAGACGTTCTTGATATACGGGATTGTTCACCAGAATTTGGGGTCGGCACGGTTTTGTCGCTCGTCTCGTTTGCGCATGCACCGGTTGACGAAGTTGCGCGGGTAACCATTTTCTCTGAAAACCCGTCGAAGATATTGGAATTCGGCAACCTTGTCTTCCGGTTCACTGCATTGCGTCTCAACACGCCGATATAGCGTTCTTACGCAACTGCATTTGTGGTTGATTGGGTGGTTATTGTTGAAGTTTAGTATTTGCGCCGTATTCGTCGCTTTTCTGAATACTTTACTCTTTAGGCCACCACAGTCTTTGCAACAGACGAGGACATCAAGGAATGCCAGCTGGTTATTTTCTTCTTTCTCCATGGTAAATTGTATGTCCGGGAAGACGCTGTTGAGACGTTCTTTGAACGTTAACACCTGATCCCGTTCGATGACTACGAAGGTATCGTCCACATACCGAGCCCAGAATTTCGGTCTGTGATGTTGGAAGACTAGCGACTCTTACTGCTGTAGGACCGCCTCGGCGATTAATCCCAAAATCGGCGAGCCCACTGGTGTTCTCTTCACTCGCTCGTTGATTATTCCGC